GTTATGATGAAAATTTTCTTGATTCCGTTATCTTCCAAGAATTCCTCCTATGAATTATGGTTCAATAGGTCAGGAAAGTTAGATCTTTGAGCGTTGTAAATTGTACATTTGAAAACAATATGGGAAATATCCTCGATCTCATTGCATATTTCACGAAGATTTGACTGAACAATGTTTGCCAATGTTTCCTCGCAAAAAGCGTGACCAGACAGTATTCTACTAGCAAGTTTCAGATCAGCAAGTCTAATGTCGTCATTATTTATGTTCGAAAAACATGGTTGTCTATTCACTGTAGGAAAAATCTTCCCATTACTAATACCTTTAGTCAAGCGTAATCTGTCATATTCGTTTTGCCCGTCTACCCTAACCATCAATTGTTCTAATTGCATCTAAGTATGTCCAAGCCACTTCAATACAAGCACCATGCCTAATTGCCTCTCTAGCCATCTAGTCCACTAATTCATTGCCAGCTATGCCGACATGACCAGGAATTAAATGAAATTCAACAAGGGAGACATTGGAATATTAATAACGCTAATTTCTCAATACCATGATCAATAGCAAAATCAATGGCTTTATCAATAGCTAATAACTCAGCAGTAGTAGAAGAAAGAATCTTGTGTGTGTAAAATGAATTGGCTATATTGTCATCCTGACGCGAGAAGGCAAATCCAGTAGAAGTCTCAGTAACTGAACCGTCAGTATACAGAATATCGAAATCTTTTTCTTCGATAACATTATCCTTCTCTCTGAATAATAATTGTACTTCTTCCTTGCTTGCCTCTAATTTTGAATTTAAAATTCCTTATAGAAATTCATAAATACAGAGATTTTCTCCTTATGTGGCGAAAATTTAAAAGAGCCCATGTCTTTAAAAATAAATTTATATTGATTAGTATTGATTGTCTCCGAAATACTAGTATCCAGGACCATATCCGAATTACAAAGCTGGTCAATTATTGGGAATTCAAATGTAACCGCCTTTGCTATTTCCTTTGCCGTAGTGATAATAAATCTATATTTAGGTGGTAATTCGGCTGCCATGTGGTAGATAACATGGGAGTAGATCTAATCAGACCAAGACTTCTTCTAAGAACATCATTTGTGTATACGTAAATCTTGCCAACGGCTTTTTTGGAGAGATTGGAAAAGGACGACACAGCATACTCAATTTTGGACCTTGTATAGGTTTTATATAATTTTAAAGCCCTCGCCGGAGAGATACCAAAACGACAACTACTCAAAAATTTAATAAATTTGCACGAATTCTTAGTATTATTCACAATTTCTGTTGCATGTTGAACCGAAGAGTTATTAGCAGCTATAACTCTACCAAGATATTTAATGAATGAAACTTCTGGTATTGGAATGTTGTTCAAAGATAAATTCAGAGTTCTCGGTCTTCTACTAAAGTGTATAGCATTCGTTTTCTCCGGATTAAAATGAAGATTACCTTCTTTGCACATATTATCAAGCACCTTTATATTCTCCAGTAACAGATCTTTTGCCTTAGAGAAATCTTTATCTGCATATATTAAGAAGAAATCATCCGCAAATTGGAAGAGGTGAACATTTTCCGATGAAATTTTATGTAGATCAGCCGTGAATATATTGAAAAGCAAGGGAAATAAGGAACTAAGGAACTGAGCAAGGCCGTTATTGATCCTCACTGTCTGTTCCCCCATCACAAGTAATCTTTCCGATAGAAATGCATCTATCCAGTTAATTATATGCGGATTTTTTCCATTTTCTTTCACTATGTCAATACAGATACTAATAACATGATTGCCATTTTTCTTGAAAGTCTCCACTAGATTTATCACATCATTAATGCAGTTTGTCAGGGACCTTTTTTTCCTAAAGGCATATGATCTTTCAGGAATTATCCTCGTTCCATTTAATTGTTCTTCTATTTTCAATCTTGACAGGTGTTCCAGAGCCTTTACAGTAACAGACATGAGGCATACAGGTCTGTGATTTTCAATTAAAGATATATCCTTGTTCTTCTTAGGGACCGGACACACTCTTATCTTTCTCCAGCATTCAGGAAAAAGAGGAGTTAAAGCAGCTTATTATAAGGTTGAATACAGCTTTTCTGTTCTCTTCTGAAATATTTAGTAAAATGCGATATGAGATTCCATCAACTCCCGCAGCTGAATCAGGATTTCTGGTAACTAAAAATTTCACAAAGTCGTCGTAATTTTTATATTTTTTAATATTAGATAACTTTCTCAAAAGTGTTTTCAAATCAGTAGGTCTTGAAATTTCTTCCAAAAATTGATTAAATGATGTTTTCTTCCTCTCAGAGATGTGAGTCTTGAGTTTATCTTCTGCATTCATATATAAATCTTCTGCTTTCTTTGTCAGGTGATATTTTTTTCTCGCAGCATTTCTCAATCGGAATAATTTTGATGCCTCTTCATCCCACCAATGTTTGGCTTCAGCCAGTATTGTGTTACTTTTTCTAATAATTTCCACTTCCTTCTGCATATCACTGAGATTATCACCTATATTAGCCACTAATAACTCAGAATAAAATTGTTTCTTATTCAGAATCTTTTTACAACCTCTTCGTTCAAAGGAATCCTTTAATGAAATAACCACAGGACGATGATTACTATTTGTTATTTTTATATTTAGCGCTGACCATTCATAATCACAATGCAAATTGGAACTAAAAGTGACATCTAATGTAGGAGGAGAGCATGATGCCGTGGAATTTGTTGGACTGCCATCATTTAAATACAGAAGACCATTATCATTAACAATGGATTCCAAAATTAAACCCTTGGGATTCTCTAAACCAATTCTCCATAAAGGGAATTATTCATTTCAATAGAAAAATCGCCTTCAGAGATGTTGGGCGGACAATAGACACAAAATATGTTAATGTTCTTCTTTAAATTTAATGTTGTTATTGCCAAAATATTCTTCGAGGTTTGATACTTTAAAATACTGTACTTTATTTCCTTGTGTATGTAGAAACCTACACCTCCAAAACCTCCAGTTCCCAATATTTGGGTAAATTATAGGAAAATGAAATCTCATTATCCTTCACCATCTCACGGTGTTTTCTCATTGTTTCTTGGGAGTTCATAATTTCTCTCTGACGATTTAAATTAATTTTAACAGCCTTAGCATAGGGAATTATATTATGGACATCTTTCACCGCGTCCTGATGATTGTTCCTTAATCTAGTGGATGAGTCTTGAGTCAGTGGAGGGAATTGAGTTTCGTCATCCTCCAATATTGAGAATCTATTAGAAAACATATTAGAAAAAAGTTCACGGGCCTCCTCTTCCTGAGTTCCTCTTCTGAGAGTTCCGTGGGAATGTCAAAAATTATTGCCACTTTAGATACAAAATGAGCAAAAATTTTAACCGATAAACCGAGTTCAGACAATCTCTTATCTTCAGCCAAATCATTAGCAGCTCTAAAATTCTTAAAAACAACCTTACATCTACCAAAACCAATTTTTGCCACTTCCAATACATCCTTGTAATTGATTCAATATTCTACAAACAGTTATACCATTCAAGTATATTCTTATCCCAGATTTATCGAAAGCATCAACATACACAAAAAATGCTCTCTTGTGAGTTTCGTCATATCTATAAATTGGTTGTTCAATTTTCATTTTGTCATTCCGTCCTTTGTCCGAAATTATCATTCTGTCCTTTGTCCGAATTTTCCCTAGTCTTGTCTAGCTGATCTGACTTACCCTCTGTATTTGGCGAATTCATAGGTACCGTGTCCTCTGGTTTGTTCTTCTTTGGTTTTTTTCCACCATCAGGATTATCCCGTTTACGTGCCGGAGTGCCCTCGGTATCACCCATCTTCCTTTTTTCCACCAAAATTCACCAATTTAATCTTCACAGATATATTAATTTATTAACTTTTTATGTGCATATGGTCTAGTTACCCGGCGCATTTTTATATATTTTATAAATTAATTTATAAAGTATATTTGAAATAAATAAATAATAAAAATATGTCGTAAAAAAGCAAATTTCGGAAGTGGTCATATACATATGTATATGGACTTTGATCATTAGATTAATAAGAACGTCAGCGTGATTTTCGGAATAGGGACTTAAATGTAGGATTGGGTCAATTATGGACCATGTTCTGCATAATTTAAAGTATTTTTTTAATTCTACCATAATTGTATCATAGTGATAACTTTTGGAATAATGTATTAGCTATAAATTGATTTTCGAAATAGGGACTTCAATGAGGGATTTGGTCAATTATGGACCAAGATCTCCATAATTTAATATATTTTTTTTAATTCTACCATAATTGTATCATAATGCTAAACTTTTGGAATGATGTATTAACTATAAATTGATTTTCTGTAAGAGGGTTACATTGGCGGACCGATCCTCAAAATTTCAGGTTTCACAAATATTGGTTTCGGTTCCTAAAAAAGTTTTTTTTTTTGTCGAATTCCATTATTACATCTACATTTGAAAGCCATTTTTGTGCGTTTTAGTCATTATCTGAAGAACATCTCATATGGGTTTAGGGTGAATTATGCTTCGATCGTCATAGAATTTGGTAGACTTATTTTTGTTCCGCCAAATCTCAATGAGCGGCTTTTTATTAGATAAAAGAAAACTTGCTTAAATGAAAACAAATTAATTTTATTTTGTAAAAATCCTTAAATTTAGCGAAAGCGTTCTGTAAATTATATAAAACATGGAAAAATTTTCAAGACGTATTAATCTTCTTTTGTATTTTTTTTATAACGGTTTTTCTTCGAAATTATAATATTATTTCATGTATATTTGTTTTTGTTTCGGATCTAAAATACCTCGAGTATGATACCAACACTGTAAATTATGATTAAAATCGAGACATGTCGTCAAACGCAAAATCTCTACATCTACAGCCCTGCTGATATAAGGGAATAATAATTAATTAATTAACTTGAAAATTGGCATCTCTATTCATGCGGGTATGTTCAGTGTTTTTAATAGATAAGAAATAAATGTAAACAAACATTAACCAGATGTTTTGTACCAATCTTATCTCTTCATGAAATTACAACCGGAAAAACTCAACAATAGTAATTTCCAATGTTTTAAATTTAGTTTAAATAACTAAAATGATCAGAGTAGAGTGGTGCGTAGTTGTTTTATTGTTAATATATGTGAATATTGGAAATGCAACTAAATCTACATGTTTGGGATTTGATAAATGGCTGAAATTTATTTCTCAACAGCCTCAACCACCTTACTGTCCTTTTACAACTGAAAATAAAGATAATGTCATATTTTTGCTGTATGACGTAAATCCTCCGGAAGGATTCAATTTACGTCGCGATGTGTATATACGTTTGGCCGTTTTCATGCGTCATTTACAAGCAACACCTGGTTATGAAAATGTTCGTATTGTTTTACCACCTTGGCGTAGATTGTACCACTGGAAGTCTCATCATATAGAACAGGATAATGTGCCGTGGCAAAATTTTTTCAATATAGAAAGTTTAAAACGTTATGCACCCGTTATGGATTTTCCAGAATTTCTAGCAGAATATAAAAATTTCGGAGTAGAAGAAACTTTTGGCTTACCTGTGCACAAAGTTTTGCAGTTAAGACATTTTAAAGATATGTTTGAAAATGGAGTGTTTAGAGATAAATGGGAACTAAGCAATGAATGCCCCGAAAATCCTCAACTATTACAGGGATCATTTTTGAAGGAATCTCCTCTTTGGATAAAAGACCCGAAAATACAATGTGTCAATTATCAGGGTAGTGCAAACCTTCTGAAACAGGTTATTAATCGTATAACAAAAGGTTTGGAAAACGATAATCTGCCTAAAGTTATAGCCATTTTAAACGCTGAAATAGTTTTACATGAACACTGGGCTGATCGAGAATTTTGGAGAGCTCGCCGTTCCATGCGTTTTGCGGACAACCTTATGAAAATTGCGGCGGATTTTCGTTGGTCTAATTTCAATAGTTATGATAAAGTAGATAATGTGCAAAGACCTCCTATGTGGGAATATGAAACTCCCAAACATAAAGGCAAAGCTTTGGGAGGTCCATACTTGTGTGTTCATTTGAGGCGTGGAGATTTCTTATATGGCCGTGAAAAAACCACGCCTACTTTAAAATCATCTGCGCTACAAATCAAATACTATTTACAAAATCACAATCTCACCACAGTGTTTCTAGCGACGGACGCTACAGCGTTTGAAATAAAAAATCTAAAATCATACATTCCCCGCTATCGTGTAGTTCGTTTCACAGCAGAGAATCTATATCAGAAATCTCTAATTAAAGATGGTGGGATTGCCATCATAGATCAAATCATATGTTCACATGCTCATTTTTTTATCGGTACCTACGAGAGTACATTTACCTATCGCATCTATGAAGAACGTGAAATATTGGGTTTTCCCAGGGATCGTACATTTAATACGCTATGTAAAAAATCTACTATGGAAAACTGTTTGCAAAATTCAGTCTGGCCGATTGTATATTAGTTTAAGGATAAAAAATTATCTCAATTAAAAAATAGTGATAAAATATTAATTAAAAAAATACTCGTTTGCATGTGGTGATAATGATGATTACTGTATGTACTTGTAAGTTAAATGCACAATTTATAGCCTATATAAATAAAAGACTTTGTTATGAAATAAGTTTTATATAAGTGTATTTTTAAATGTTAAATAAGTATAAATTAATATGGTGTTCAGAAAAGTAAAGTTTTTTTAAACACAAATCTAAAAGGTAAATTTAAAACTGAAAGAAAAACTAGAAAAATTGTTATAAATAACAATTGTTGTAAAAAATTAAATATACAATAAATTAGACGAAATGCTTAATAAATCATTAATTACCCATTTTTTGAAAATACACATATTATTATAGTTATTAAAACTATTTTCGTTTTCGTTAATAATCGATCAATTATAAGTTATGAATATATCGCACATTTATTTCAATACGAACTAACTAGAAGTCTAGTATTTAATTAAGTAAATGATGGATATTTTAAAAAGTCTATAAAGCTACATTGATACATTGAAAGTACTTTAAAGTTTACAATTTTGAAATTATTTTCAAAATTTGAAAGTTCGAAATTCATAAAAATGGTTTAATTAAAAAAATAAAACTATATTTTTAACAACCATCAGTATTTAAGAAGAACTTAAATCAATTATTGCTTTCTAACATATAATTGCATTATCATCAGGTGGATTCATGGCTACCATATATCAGCCTATTCCCAATAGGAGAACTGGTTCAAAATGTTATTACAAACCAGAGATAAGTTTACAAAGTTGAAAGAAACTTGCTTTGAAATTTTGCTTTCCATCCACTGTTTTAGTATAAGCAATTACAAATGAATTTTGACAAGCAGTTTGTATGAAAAACTTGCAGGTATAACCATGATATTTTTAAATCATGGGTGTAACTGCAGAGTGAATAAAGATTTTTTAAAAGTAACTGATGGTGCCAGTGTTACCAATAAAAGACAACTTTATTTGAGTTGCCATTCGTTTAAATTTATATTTTGACTTTTTGTCGAAAAGTCGACTGTTCATAAAATGCGGAAAGTCGATTTTATAAATAAGAGTTGAAATAGTCCGATTGGTTTGTTAGGGAGTCAATTCAATAATGCTTCTATATTTATGCCCTGCATCACTATAGTGGGGAGACTGTTATCGTTTGTGCTGATATTTATAACGCAAAAAAATATTGGTACTCATGATAATTTGGCACTTACGCCTTTTTTGACCACAGGACATATTAAATATGGTTAAAATTTAGCCCCATACAACTGAACCCTCCAAATATGTCTTTCGAGCTCAAAATTATGTTAAATATTCATATCTGTATCTCAAGCCTTTGTCGAATTTCATAATGACATCCCCAACAAATAGTATGGGGATCGATCCATACTTGCCATTTGTTTCCATATAAATTCTCTTTCAGAAAATGTGTTGTTTTGTTAACTCATATAGCTTAAATATGTAGGAACCAATGTAGAACTTAAAAACTGGTGTATGGTAACATATGGTTGGCCACTCCAGACTATATTTTCTTACTTATTTTTATTGCAAATATATAAATTACTTTTACTACCAAAGTCATAAGTCGAAAAATCGACTTATCATTAATTGCAAAGAGTTGACTTTTTTCAACTATAAAACCCTACTATGTGTTGTTGTAATTCGTATTACTTTTCAACACTGGATATATATAAATAACCACATAATCTATAAACAATTGTAAACATGGTTATTTTTCAACAAATTTTGTTTTTGTACAGATAACCCGATAAACAGTCAACCGTAAACAATAAATTTATAAAATAAACTAAAAATTATATTAAATTAAACCTAAACTCGAATTAAACTTAAAAATGAGCACTAGTAAGTAAAAGATTTGTTTTAAAATAAAAATTTGTTTATATTTGATTTACACTTGTTTCAGTTCGTAATGGAATTCGCAAAAGAAAAAGAGAAAATGAAGTAAAGAAATGGACAGACGAAGACATAAAAAAGGTGTTATGCTATATGCAGGCTCACCGAAATATTGAGGTATGATTTTGGATGCATGATTCCATGGACACTTACATATTTAGGGCGGGTTTTTCAGATAAGGATAATCTACATTCTTTGTTTTGTGTTTTTCAGTAAAGAGTAACGTTACTTATTATCTTAGTTTAACTGAGTGTTATTGGCCAATTAAACTTAAGTTATAAGTGAGAAGACACAATTAACAAAAACAATAAAACAATGATTTCGGAAGAACAAAAACTTAATATTTTAAGTAAATTATAATTTTCTGATTTGTTTTGTTTTATTTATTATTGTTTTAAATGTTTATTTAACATTTTTCCAAAATTTTTCATTTTACAAAAGTATTATTTGCAAAAAACAGCTGTTCATTGTTTATGTTTTTGAGTGAAAAGTTGGCAATTCTTACAAAGTTAACTGAACTTAACTCCATAACTGAAAAACACAATCAACGGTTAAAGTCCGCCTAAATTTGTTCCGAGTTTAATCTAACAGCAAGTTAAGCCTAGTTTAACTGAGTAGTAAGAAACCCGCCCTTAGTATAGTGGATTGTTGGAATTTTTACAGAAACCAACAGCCCGTATGTACTATGAAAAATTGTTGGAAGAAACAAAACTCGATGCAAATTGGAATATATTAAAGTGTAAAGTTCGTTATCTTAAGGGTACTTTACAAAAAGCTGAATCTTGGAGAAGAAAAGCAGGTGTTAGAATGGAGAATGGTGATGGTGCGAGTTCTGTTAAAGGTAAATACATACTAACATACATGTAAATACAATAAAACTTCGAAATAACAATCTCATTAAAATATGTATAACGAATTGTTTCGATTTCCTTGAAGAGTCCTCTTTATTGCAAAGTTTTACATTCAAAAATATACCATATAGCTATAACGAACAAATTCCGAGTCATAGCAAGTGAAGTTATGTATATTCTTAACCATAGTGTGTTTAAAAAAGTTTAATTTTGTAAATTTTCAATTCATTTCATTTTTCCATCCATTACTTTACCAATAACAAAACAAACAAGTTAGAATGCTATATTCGGCTGAGCCGAATCTTAAATACCCTCCACCAGATACTTTTATATTAATACTTTTCTAATTGATCAAATATTTGTAGAAATAAGTTTTCTCATGTCTTAAATAGAAAAATTCCCAAGATTTAAACAGCTTAAATCTATTACAATTCCAAGATTTATTGACAAACGCCATTTTCTTTATATTTTAATAGCGCTTAGGATATTTAGTAATTTGCATGTATGACCTGGTCCACACTAGGAAACTTTTGTTGAGAAACTTTTTCTTAATTCTCTTTTGAAATTTCCTTAATGTCCACACATGAAAACTTTTGTTTCAGCAACTACGTATTAATTGCATGTTGTTGTACGAATGAGAAGAATAACAAATCAAAACAAGTTTCCGAGTACGGGAAACTCCGTACCGCGAGAGACATGAATGATTTTCTTTTTCTTTCTCTCTCACGCAAAATCAAAAGTTTCTCAAAAAAAGTTTCCTAGTGTGAACCGGCAGTATGTGAAAGATTTAAGGATTTTTAAAATACATATATAATTTTGTTCTACACAAATTGATAATGCAACTAGTTAAATACGGTTAAAGCGCTTTTAAGGGCAGGACCTAGTATTGGAGATATGACCAATTATAGACCGCTCGTACAAAATTCTTTAAGCTGAATTTCTGTACATAAAAGCTATATTACAGTCAAATTTTGTATCTATATCTTAATTTAGTAATAAGTAATGTGTGTTTAAGTGATTTTCTGAAGGGAACCTCGTATGGGACCGACCGCACCCATGTTATGAACCAATCGTGAAAAAAATCTTAAAATAGAATTTTTGTATACAAAACTAATATTTGTGCCAAATTTTGTATCAATAGCTTTATTTGGTAATGAGTATCGTGCGTTTAAGGGATTTTCGTAAAAGGACCTTGTATGATACAATTATCTACATAAAGACAATTTTAAAATTCTGTATCTATATCATTATTTGGCAATGAATATTGTGCATTTATGTGATTTTCTGGAGGGGACCTAGTATGAGTGCTATGACCAAATATGGACCGATCGTAAACAACTTTTATAGTGTAATTTATGTATATAAGAGCAATATTTGTGCTAAATGTATGGATATCAATATTTTGTAATGAGTTATGTGCGTTTAAGTGATTTTCGGGAGGGAACCTTGTATGGGAGCTATGACCAATTATGGACCGATCCGAAAAAAACTTCCATAATAATATTTCTGTATATGTGAGCAATACTTGTACCAAATTTTATATGCATTTCTTAATTTAGTAATGAGTTATGTGCGTTTAAGTGATTTTCGGAAGGGGACCTTGTATGGGAGCTATAGCCAATTATGGACCGATCGGAAAAAACTTTCATAGTAATATTTCTGTATATGTGAGCAATACTTGTACCAAACTTTATATGGATATCTTAATTTAGTAATGTGCGTTTAAGTGATTTTCGGAAGGGGACTTGTACGGGAGCTATGACCAATTATGGACGGATCGGAAAATAATTTCATAGTAATATATCTTAATTTAGTAATGAGTTATGTTCGTTTAAGTGATTTTCGGGAGGGGACCTTGTATGGGAGCTATGACCAGTTATGGACCGATCGGAAAAATATTTCATAGTAATATTTCTGTGCATATGAGCAATACTTATTCCAAATTTTATATGGATATCTTAATTTAGTAATGAGTTACGCGCGTTTACAGTAATATTTCTGTGCATGTGAGCAATACTTGTACCAAATTTTGTATGGATATCTTAATTAAGTAATGAGTTATGCGCGTTTAAGTGATTTTCGAGAAGGGTCCTTGTATGGGAGCCATGACCAATTATGGACCGATCCGAAAAATATTTCATAGTAATATTTCTGTGCATATGAGCAATACTTATTCCAAATTTTATATGGATATCTTAATTTAGTAATGAGTTATGCGCGTTTAAGTGATTTTCGGGAAGGGTCCTTGTATGGGAGCTATGACCAATTATGGACCGATCGGAAAAAAATTTCATAGTAATATTTCTGTATTTGAGAGCAATACTTGTACCAAATTTTATATGGATATCTTAATTTAGTAGTGAGTTATGTTCGTTTAAGTGATTTTCGGGAGGGGACCTTGTATGGGAGCTATGTCCAATTATGGACCGATCCAGAAAATTTTTTCTCTCAATGAATTCCATTGACATAAGATTTTAATTTGTAAAATTTTGTGAAGATATCAACATTCTTACGGAAGTTATTAACAAAAAACATCAGAATGTGTAAAAAATGCTTATTTATTTCGGAGTTGTTTTAAATTTTGATTCATAACTTTTCCCGATGTGAACCGATTTTGCTTTTGTGAGCGTGTTTTACACAGACATACAGACGGACGGACAGACGGACATAGCTAAATCGACTCAGAATTTCATAAGGACCCAGTATATATATACTTTGTTGGGTCTCAGATGAATATTTCTTGGTGTTACACACGGAATGACAAACTTATATATACCCTCTATCACCACTGATGGTGGTGGAGGGCATACAAATTGATATAGACCATAAAACAGGAATTATTTTTGTCATTAAAATCTTAATAACTTTTTTTCAATTTTACATAACGGTGTATAAATCTATAACTTTGTTCAAAATATATGTGGAAATCAACTGAGAAAATTAAAAGAAAAAATCTATCACGTAAATTTTGAGAAAAGTTTATGTAAACCTTCTAAGTCGTTTTTCTCAATAACAAGTGTTTGGCGTATGGGTCAAACCAATAATATACTGACGATATATAAACATATAAATTTAACATATGAAGCTGTATGTTGTTTTTTTTTTTTTTTTTGTTATTGATAAAGTCAGAAAAATAATCATTAAAAATGGTTACATAAAAATAGGCTTTTTTGGATAGAACTGGTGATGTTACAGAATTATTTCCCTCTTTTTTCTTCTATATCACTGTATATAAAAAAAGTTTAATTACATCTTACAAAGACAACATGATTTAAGGAAGTTCTATACAAGATACGATTTTTCAATTGTCATATTTCTTAAGAAACAGTTTTGTATAACATGATTCCTCAAGCATTGTTATACACGTTATTATAAACGATGTTAAGATGCTAGTTAAATATATACAATTACAATTTTTACAGATAAGGTTGTACAAAAAATATGCCCATATTACGAACAGTTATCGGACATATTTATACTTGGTAAGGAAATAAATTATGCTGTACTAGATACATCATTCGATGAGGCCAACTACATTTCACAAGATGCAACTGACATCAAAGATGAGAACCATGAAGTAAGTGACGATGCATTCGACAACAGTTCACACGAAGCAATTGAGATCAAAAATGAGATCGTTGAAGAAAATTACGAGAGATTTGACTACAATTCCCCTCTTGCTATCGACAATAGAGATGAGAGTCTTGCAACAACCTCCCCGGCAATAGCAGCTTATAAAGTAAAGCCTATAGCACAAAACACTTCCCCCGACAAGTTGACCGCTATAGAAGTTGAGCGTACGAAATTTTGGGAAAAGCAACTAAAATTAGAAACAGACAAATTTGAGTGGGCGAAAGAGGTGGAGAAGAAAAAACTAGAGATGGATAGAATTAGACTTGAAAATGAATTTCAATTAAAAAAATTAGAATTGGAACAAAATGAACGGATAAAAATGTTTGAAATTGAGATGAAATATAAAAATAAATAAAATAAAAAACGATATTATAGTTTTTTTATTTTCATTTAACTTATGTATAAAGTTCCTTTTTTCATTATATTGATTACGATATTATCAAGGTTAAGGACCTAAACTTTAGGTTAAAAAGGGTTATGCGCCATAAAAAGCTGCAACTCCACTCGGAGACCTAAGGTCCATTGTGATTCCCTTCGCCTTTTTTGTCCATCGAGAATTAAATGCGAGAACTTAATCGAAATGTAGAATAGTGGTAAATATTATATCAGTATTCATGAATGCCAATTTTTTCAAAATTCAAATGTTTTAATTATAATTTTGATTTTTACTTACCAAAAATTTGTAAATTGTTAAAAAACCTATATGATTTTGTAAATTGAAGTTTTTTTAATGAAATAAAAAGTACAAGTTTGTTGATTTATTAAACATTTGATATACTTAGAGCGGGTTTTTGAGATGGTAATCAAATGCCAATTAATAATCAGATTATTTAATCTAAAAATAAATTTAATCTTATGTTAATCCCCTTTGATGTTTTTGAGTACAATATTAAACTTCGCAGTGTTGCCATACAAAACAACAGAAAACTTCACTGTTTGTTATCAAAACAATGCATATTTTATAAAAAAGAAGAAGACAATTGTAAATTTAATATGAAAATTAATGAAAACTTAAATTAAAAACAAAAAAATCTATTTTGAAGTGTCCATAATTTATACTAATCAATAAATAGAACATTTTAATGTTTATATTTATAAACATTTTAGTAATTTTTTTGCATCAGCTGTTTACACTTTTGCATTTCGTTCTTAAGATTAAACCACGTCCTTTGGGCGCTTAAACTTGCAAACAAAATTAACTAATTGAGTACTCAAAAACATCTTTCGAGGATTAATTTTAATTTAATCGCTAATCTTTCGCCTAAAGATTGGCCCTTATACATGTAATATTTTTTAATGTTTTTTAATGGTTTTATTTATATATAAATTCAGTTGATTTATTAATAATTTATATTTAATCTATGTATGTTCATATTTATTGTGTATTTATTACTTATTTATTAAATAAAATAAACATACAAATTATATTATAACAATAAAATTATATTTTATATTTTTTAATTTATATAATAATATGTTTATCTCCCATTTTCACCACTCCTTAAATCACTTAAAATAATGGTTGCATGAAAACTGTCAATATAACTTAAAGTTAAAAAATAACTTTATTTATTGTTAATGAAATGCATACATACATACATACATATCTAGTTAAATAGTATGTACATAAATTTGTAATGTTTTAATAATATGTTTATTGAGTTCGGGGTTTGTTTTATTTTCTAGTTACTTATATAATTTAAATATATGTACATATGTATGTTTACTTTTTACAATAACTGTATTATATTAATAATATTTATATTTTTTATATTCTATATAGGCACTTTTTAATTAAGAGTTTAATAGATATTTTTCAAAATATAATAGAATATAAAAGACTTTCTTTTAAAAATATGCTTAGTTAAACTATGATTTTTTTATTTTAATATTTTTTAAGCTTTTTTTAATCGCTAGAAGTATGCACTTAGCTTATTATGATTTTGAAGCCCATTTATATACAGTTTTTAACTGTAAGATTTAACACAAAATCAGCAAAGATGATTAAGTTTAGATTAACTACCTTTTTTATAAAACCCTTCACGTCACTTCATTATACCCTACACCACTTTAGTGGGGAGGGTATATTGGATTCGTGCTGATGTTTATAGTACACAATAATAATGGTCCTATATCAACCTTAAAGTATACCAATCCACTTAGAATCATTTTCTTAGTCGATTTAGCTATGTCCGTCCATTTAAACCTTTTAATCAAACTACAATTTTGAAGATAATTCAGTGAAATTTGCTACATGATCTTCTATTGTCTCAGGGACGAAGTTAATTAAAAATGGTTAAGATCGGTACATTATCTGAACTAGCCCCCATACAACTGAACCCCCGAATAGAGCTTGTAAACCTTGTAATCAAACTACGGGTCGCAATTTTGAAGATAATTAAATAAAATTTGGCACATGAGACATAGCTTATTGAAAATGGTTAACAGCCTTGATAACCCTGATGAATTTTATAATGAAAGGGCCTCATTTTACCCTAGCACCTATGCAAAGCCCCTTCAAAATATGACTTAAATGTCCACAATTTTATTCAACAATAAATAGCTTTAAGTATATCTGAGGCAAGATATCAAGGTAAATCACTTTTTATTTTTATAACTGGTGTAGGGTATTATATGGTCGGCCTCGCCTGACTACAATTTCTTACTTGTTTTTTAAATGGAATAAGTGAAGTAACGGGAGCAAATGTGTTTTTAGGTTAATAACTGATCTGATAATTAATTGGGAGATGATAAAAACTTTTGTATGTCTTGATATGACCTCATTTTACCTTTGTCATGTTGAACTTAAAAAGAGAGTAGTATATAAAGAGCGCATCGTGTGAACTCGCTTTTCTTCTGTTATAATACATATTTATTGCTTTATAAAAAAACACATATGTATTTGAAACAGCGGGAGGACACTTTTATTTATAAAATCGGTTATGTCGACTTAAAAACAAAGTTTTAAACTCCTCATCCTTCTGCGAGAAATCTGAACCTATAGTTATGATATCTGATTCCAGTGTTTTGTAATTGTTATCATTCTATTGATTATTGTTCACTCAAGTTTGGTGAAGATCCGGCCATATATGACCATAGTCACCATATAAATACACGACCGTCTCCTGGAAATACCCATAATTGACTTATGAATGTAATATGACCATGAAAGACAACAAAGTTGTATATTCATCCCTATACTGCATTTCGATTACGTTTTCGCATTCAGTGTAAGTTATTATGCAAATGAGACTGTGTTCTGTGATTACCGATATTAACAATCTTATCTGAACTATGCGAAAGTTTATAAGTAATCTTGATCTGAATGCATCATATAAGTAGATGCCAGGTATACCTCGATATCTTACAGACCATTTATTACAGTTCGATGCTTTGCAGAGTTACATATTTATATTTGAAATTAAAGATAAAATTGTCAAATTAAGACTTAATCACACCTATTCTGCATTTAAATTTGAAATTTGCGATGTCCTAGGTGTGGTCCACGTAATCCATACAAGCATTACATCAGACTAATCCTAAAACTACTCTCAGAATTCTATGTAATGCAAGCCATGTACCATGTTATCAAGAAAAAGAACATGATTCAGGCCGACATTAAATATGTCTACTAAACGAATTATGTGATCCAATAATGTTTGCAGGGGAGTATTTTTGGAATTACTTTAATGGATCATATACTCAAATCGTATTTCTAGGGATAAATTTAAACTAATGCAAATACTTTTTCTATTAAAAGTCAGTTTTAAAGCATTATTAGTCACTACTTGCAGTGTAAAATATGAGCTGCCGAAGTGGACTAAACAAATCACACTGCAAAGTCTACTGCTATAATGGAGCAGTAGACTTTGTTTTTTCAGAATGCAAAAGAAGCTCAGGTGGGTTTTTTGAGATACCTTTAAGATTTAAACGGGAGACCAGTGAAGAATAAAGTGTTATATTAGAGTAAGAGTAAGAAGTCAGGAATAGTTAAAAACTTAATAGTCAAACTAATGAAAAATAAAGCAATATTAAAATGAGATCCTTGGACCAAAAGCTACCGTTAGTGCAGTCGTTAATAAAGACGTTTATTTTATCTAATTTATTACCAGATAACCCCGAAAGAATCTTCAAAAATCGATGTCAGACATCGGAGACGGATGTCCCTTAATACTGGACAACGGACGTAGAAGATTAGCAATTGGTTCCTCTTCTTACTCATCTTGATAGCTCTACAATACGGGAAGCCATATCTCCTTCCATGGTTACCAAATTACAATGCCCAGTGATTACAGTAATCATTTTGCCATAACTTGGTTGAGATACAAGTTGGTTAATTTCTTTATTATGCCTAAGAATTCGTAGAACATGTTGTCTATTCGTATTACAAAAATGGTCTATGTCCTAATGAAGTATACTGTTCTTACACTCACCTTAGATTATACCAATCAATTCAGAATCAATTTCATGGCCTTTCGTCTGTTCATGTAAACATTGTAATTAAACTAGAGGTCGAAGGCGAACCATATTTGAGTTCATATTGAGTTAAATATAATAAATTTATTATGCAAATCATATCCTAACTTCCGTTCCTGGAAGTTTCTATGAAGGAAACTACAAGCCACCTTTTACAAAAATTTTACAACATACAACTATAAGACAGTGGTTGTGAATTGGAAAATGAATTAACAATATCGAAATATTAACAAAAAATTGCAAATTATAGCGAATTCTGAATATTGTTCTACAGAGCTCTAAGAAAAAACAATGGACATATATACATATATATCTGCTTATTCTTTCTATTTCTAAATCAGTCTACTGTACATTCTTTTAAGAAAACCAATTAGTTGTAATAGATTTTAAAACAGTTATAATCATACATCTGATTGTATTTATGATATTTTGTTTTATTTTTTTATTATATTTAAATAGTTCAATAAATATTTAGTTATGTATTTATTTATTATTTATATTGCCATTGTGATTTTATTAGTCATTTGTTTCTTATACAATTGTTATTATAAATTAAATTTTATTATTTTCTTTCAGTTAAAAGCTAATAAAAAAAAGGCTGTAAAAAGCTTAAGTTAAATATAAATTTTATTTTGTTTATATTTTAAACATAATATCTCTGTCAATTTAAACAACAAATTTTAGTTTGCGCCAAAAAGGTACAACAAGTGTAAATTTTATAGAAGTTTATAATTTGTGTTTATTTGCTTTTTTAAAAAAAGCTTTTTAATAAAAACATATGGGCCAAAAACATACATAAATATATAATTAAAACTTTATTATATATAAATTTGACTTTAATGGTTTTAATTTATTACTTTATTCCAGCTCAAGTCAGATTTACAGGTTTTAAAACAACAATTTAAACTTTTAGTACCCGATCGTTGTGTTTTAAACCCTATAAGTTTTATTACAAAACATCTGAAACAAAGCTAATATTTAAAATAAATTAAAATAAATTTAATTTTCATTTAAATATATGTTAGAATTCAGATATACACCAAGAGATCAATT